TTAGGTTGGAAATAGCTGGGAAGGAAGGGTAGGATCCAGGTGGGAAATACCTAGGGAGGGAGAGGGAATTCAGGTGGGAAACAGCTGGGGAGAGAGAGGGAATCCAGGTGGGGGGATACCTGGGGAGGGAGAGGGAATTCAGGTGGGAAATACCTGGAGAGGGAGGGGGAATCCATGTGGGAAATACCTGAGGAGGGAAGGGGAATTCAGGTGAGAGATACCTGGGGAGGGAGGGCAGAATCCAGATGGGAAATAGCTGGGGAGAGAGAGGGAGTCCAGGTGGGGAATACCTGGGGAGGGAGTGGGAATCCAGGGGGAAATATCTGGGGTGGGAAATATCTGGGGAGGGAAGGAGGGAAGTTGGAATCCATGTGGGAAATACCTAGGAAGGGAGAGGGAATCCAGGTGGGAAGTAGCTGGAGAGGCAGCAGTGGGGGTCATACCTGGAGGGGATTTGGGGTGACAGAGTATCTGGGTGGGGATTTGGGGGAGCCAGGTATTGGGGCTGGGAGGGGGGAAATACCTGGATGGGTTTGGGGGTGGGAAAGCCCTTGGGGAGGGGTTTGGGGGAGGGAAGTGCAGAGTGCCTGGGTGAGGTTGGAAGAGGGGCAGACTGAGGGGAATCCAGGTAGGAAACACTTTGGGGGGAGCTTAGGGGGTACAGGGAAAAACCTGTGTGGGAAACACCTGGGTGGCACCTGGGGGTGATCGGGATGTTCTGGGGTGAATCTGGCAGTGCCTTTCCAAAAAAAAAAAAACCCAAACCAAAAAAAACCCCAAAAAACAAAAAGAAAAAACAAAACAAAACAATTAAATTTTCCTTTGGTTGGACAAGCCTTGGGAGGGACAAGGCTCAGTTTGGGCAGAGGGAAGCACACCTGGCCAGGTGACCCCTGTGGTCCCACACGTGTCCCTCTGTTAGTGTTCAGGAACACAAATCACAGAATGATTCCATGCAGGTGCTTTTATTGAAGAGCTCTGGGTGTCAGGCATTTCCAGCTGAACATGTTTTATATGGTTATATAACTTACATGTTAATTACTAAACTTCCATTGCTCTGTGTTACACATTGATTCCATCCAAGCAGGGGTTTCTCGTGATCCCCCTCAAACCCCTAACACAGTTTCTCACAATTCTACTTACAATTAAGCAATAATTATATCTAATAATTGTATTATTTATCACATACTGATTACCCAGCTGCAGTTTCATGAGCCAGCAAACACAAGGCCTGATTTCCCAGGGCCTGCAGGGATGTGCTCCCTGTTGATGGAGAGGCAAAGCTGTCCTTGTCCCCCTGAAAAGGAGAGAAGCCCAGAAGTTTGGGTGAAAAGCCACCTCACAGGGCCTTGGGGACTTCACCTCAAATTTAAGGACAACCAATTGGACAGCAGCCAAAAATTCTCACCTGGGCATTTCACTAGAAAAAGGAGTGAACAAAGGAATGAATTGCTTTTGTGGGGTGTTTTACCAGGAGCGAGGTCCTCGTGCACCTGGCTGGGTTTTTCTGTTTGTTATTTTGTCTTTTATAAAACCTTTTTGTTTCCAGCACTGCAGCAGAAGCCATGCTGCTGATTTTTATGCCTCCAAAGGTGGCTGAGCTATCTTGGGTGTGTTACATACCTCAAAAAGCTCATGAGACCTGGCCTGAGGAGGCACATGCAACAGGGGCCTACCCTTCCCATTCCCCAGGGCTCACCAACCCTGACTTGCTTTCTAACTCCCCGAATTTCAAGTTTTCTCCTGGATTAGGTGAAAAGCCACCTCATAGACCTTAGGAACAAATTGCTTTTGTGGGGTGTTTTACCAGGAGCAAGTCAGGTCCTACCCTTGCTTACCATCCCAAACTTCCTAACTCCCAAACTTGCTGATTTTTAACCCTTTCCCTCCCCCTCCATGGGCTTCCCAACCCTAACTTTCTTTCCAACTCCCTGAATTTCAAGTATTTCTCCTGGATTAGGTGAAAAGCCACCTCATAGACCTTAGGAACTAATTGCTTTTGTGGGGTGTTTTACCAGGAGCAAGCCAGGTCCTACCCTTACTCACCAACCCAAACTTTCTTCCTAACTCCTGAACTTGCCCATTTTTAACCCTTTCCCTCCCCCTCCACAGGCTTACCAACCCTATCTTTCTAACTCCCTGAATTTCAAGTTTTTCTCCTGGATTAGATGAAAAGCCACCTCATAGGGCCTTGGGGGCTTCACCTCAAATTTAAGGATTGCCAATTGGACAGGAGCCAAAAATTCCCACCTGAAAAAGGAGTGAACAAAGGAGCTAATTGCTTTTGTGGGGTGTTTTACCAGGACCAAGCCAGGTCCTACCCTTGCTTACCAACCCAAACTTCAACTCCCCGAATTACCAAGTTTTTCTCCTGGATTAGATGAAAAGCCACCTCATAGACCTTAGGAACAAATTGCTTTTGTGGGGTGTTTTACCAGGACCAAGCCAGGTCCTACCCTTGCTTACCATCCCAAACTTTCTTCCTAACTCCTGAACTTCCCGATCTTTAACCCTTTCCCTCCCCCTCTACGGGCTTACCAACCCAAACTTTCTTTCTTAACTCCCTGAATTTCAAGTTTTTCTCCTTGATTAGGTGAAAAGCCACCTCATAGACCTTAGGAACTAATTGCTTTTGTGGGGTGTTTTACCAGGACCAAGCCAGGTCCTACCCTTGCTCACCATCCCAAACTTCCTAACTCCGGAATTTCCCATTTTTAACCCTTTCTCTGTGCTGCAGCTGACCCAGAACGGCACGGTGCCGTCGGCCGAGGCCGCGGGGCTCACCTTGGCCGACGTGTCCGACGACGACCTGGACGTGGGGCAGGTGGAGGTGGGCGATTATTTCTACCTGCAGCCGCTGCCCACCAAGCGGCGCCGGGCGCTGCTGCGCGCCTCGGGCGTGCGCAGGATCGACGCCGAGGAGCGGCAGGAGCTGCGGGCGCTGCGCCTGTCCCGCGAGCAGTGCGGCTGCCTGTGCCGCCTGACCTGCGAGCCGCGCACCTGCGCCTGCAGCCAGGCCGGCATCCAGTGCCAGGTGAGACACGGGGGGCTGGCAAGGGGGGGAGAGCCAGGTGTGCCAGGCTGGCATCCAGTGCCAGGTGAGACACGGGGGGCTGGCAAGGGGGGGAGAGCCAGGTGTGCCAGGCTGGCATCCAGTGCCAGGTGAGACACGGGGGGCTGGGAAGGGTGGGGAGAGCCAGGTGAGGGCATCCAAGAGCCAAATTCCTGCTGTCCAGGTGGGATCTGGGGTCACTCTGGGCTGGGATTCAGGCTCTGGGGTGGGGATCCTGTAGGATCCTCCACCTGTGGAGACACCTGGCTGGGATGAAGCCCTGCCAGGATGTCTGGGGTGGGATTCAGGCTCTGGGGGGCTCCTGGCTGGGATAAAGCCCCCAGCAGGATGCCAGAGTGGGATTCAGGCTCTGGGGTGGTGAGCCTGTGGGGTCCTCCCACTGGAGACACCTGGCTGGGATAAAGCCCTGCCAGGATGTTTGGGGTGGGATTCAGGCTTTGGGGGGCTCCTGGCTGGGATAAAGCCCAGCAGGATGCCGGGGTGGGATTTGGGCTCTGGGGGGCTCCTGGCTGGGGTGGGAGGCAGGCTGGGAGGGTTCCTGGCTGGGATGAAGCCTCCAGGAGGATGCCTGGGTGGGATTCAGGCTCTGAGGGGATCCTTGCTGGGATGAAGCCCCAGCAGGATGTTGGGGTGGGATTCAGGTTCTGGCGGGGGGATCCTATGGGATCCTCCACCTGTGGAGACACCTGGCTGGGATGAAGCCCTGCCGGGATGTTTGGGGTGGGATTTGGGCTCTGGGGGGCTCCTGGCTGGGATAAAGCCCCCAGCGGGATGCCTGGGTGGGGTGCAGGCTCTGGGGGGCTCCTGGCTGGGGTGGGATTCGGGCTCGGGGGGCTCCTGGCTGGGGTGGGATGCAGGCTCTGTGGGGATCCTGGCTGGGGTGGGATTCGGGCTCTGGGGGGCTCCTGGCTGGGATGAAGCCCCCAGCGGGATGCCTGGGTGGGATTCGGGCTCTGGGGGGATCCTGGCTGGGATAAAGCCCAGCAGGATGCCAGGGTGGGATTCGGGCTCGGGGGGCTCCCGCAGGCTGCTCAGGGGTGTGCCTGTGCCCAGGTGGATCGCACGTCGTTCCCGTGCGGCTGCTCCCGGGACGGCTGCGGGAACGTGGCCGGGCGCATCGAGTTCAACCCGCTGCGCGTCCGCACGCACTTCCTGCACACCCTGATGAAGCTGGAGCTGCAGAGCCGGCGGGAGGAGGAGGAGGACGAGGAGGAAGGAGCTGCTGCCCTCGCTGGCCCCAGCTGGCCGCCCCCACAGCCCCCCGAGACTCAGGACTTCCAGGAGTACCTGGCGGAGAACGAGCGGGCGGTGCTGCACCTGCAGACGGCCGAGGAGCTGGAGAGGCTGAAGGCTGAGGAAGACTCCGGAAGCGGCTCTGGGGGAGAGGGGGGCGGGGTCTGCGTGCTGGGGGAGCAGCTGGATGGCAGCTGGCAGGTGAAAGCCCCCCCGTGCCCCGGGCTCGCCCCCGCCATCCTGATCCCGGCCCAGTTCCCGCTGGGGTCTCCTGTGCTGTGCTACCCCCCGGGGCAGCCGGCCCAGGCGGGCTCCCCGCCCGACCTGCCCGATGCACCTGGGCTCTTCTGCCAGCTGGAGCCACGGGCAGGTGCCAAGGGGGGCAGCGGCCACGTGGAGCATCCAGCTCCAGCCTCCAGCCCCCCTGAGAAGGAGCTGGGGGTCCCACCTGTCCCTGCTGCTGGGAGCAAGGGAGGAGCGCCCCAAAATCTCCCCGAGCACCTGGAGCACCCCCACCTGCCCATATGAGTGGCCTGAGGCCCTCTGGCTCCATTATTTATTCCATGGATTGATTATTTAATTGGTGGGGGCTGCTCTGGACAGAGGATTCACCTGGCCCAGGGCCAGGAGTCCTTCACTCACCTGGTGGGGGTCACCTGTGCCAGGACTCACCTGAGCTGCACCTCTGGGAGCCTTCCTGTTCTCCATCCCAGCTGGTGGGGCTCACCTGTGCCAGGACTCACCTGAGCTGCACCTCTGGGAGCCTTCCTGTTCTCCATCCCACCTGGCAGAGATCACCTGTGCCAGGACTCACCTGAGCTGCACCTCTGGGAGCCTTCCTGTTCTCCATCCCAGCTGGTGGGGCTCACCTGTGCCAGGACTCACCTGAGCTGCACCTCCTGGGTCCCGTGGCAGCTCTGTCCCCCCTGGCTGCCTCCATTTTCCTTGTTTTTAAGGGAAAAGTCCTTTTTCCCTAATTGCTGTTTGTTTCATGAATGTCTCACTGGGCTGCCTCCCATCCCACCTCATCCAGGTGATGCTCCCACTCCCCTGCAGCTGGGATGGATTGGGGAACACCTGGAACTGGCACAAGAGACCCAGGACTGGAATTCCCAAACTCACCTGGAACATTTTGGGGGGTTGAACCAACTTCACCTCCTCCATCACCTGGAAGTGATCACCTGTACCTGTGGGAACCCTCTGGGATGTTCATGCCCTGCTGGGGGGTTGGAGCTGCCCCTCCAGGAGCAGGATTTGGGATGTGCAGGAGTGTCCCTGTTACCCCATGGGTGCGATGTCACCTGGGCCTGGGGCTCTCAGCTGCCTCCTTGCCCATCCCAGGTGAGCTCCATCCATCCCTGCAGGTGACCCTCACCTGGCTGTGTTTCCCAAAGAGCTGTTCCTGCCATTCCTGCCCTCGGGATCCATCCCACGGGGCCCTGCAGGTGTGCCCAGGTGTCAGCTCCTGCTGCTCCTGCTGCTCTGGAGCTCCCTGTGCTGCTCCTCAGGTGCTTCCTGCTCACCTGTGTCCTTCTGGCTCTGGGCTCTCCACTGGCATCAGACTGGTCAGACTGGGATGGATTCAGGTTCTCCAGGCTCACCTGGTCCCTCCAGCCCTTCCTTGGACTGGGATTCATGGAAAACCCACCTGTGCTCCGGACCTTCCTGCAGCCCTGGGGTCTGTCTTGGGGTGAAACTTCTCGTTTCTGGGGCTTTTGCCTCTTTTTTGGCTTCAGCCAGGTGAGATCAACCTGGCCCAGCAGCAATTCCAGCCTGGAAGAGGCAGGAGGGGGGCAAAGGGGGCTGTGGGGTGGGGCTGCCTGTGGATTTGCTCACCTGGAAGCTCTTGGATTCTGGAATCTGCTCACCTGCTTGGGTCTGTGCCCCAAATCCTACGTTCTGCTCACCTGGACCCTACAGACTGTGGGATCTGCTCACCTGGACCTGCTCACCTTGAGGGATCTGCTCACCTGGACCTGCTCACCTTGAGGGATCTGCTCACCTTGAGAGATCTGTGCGCCTGGACCTGCTCACCTTGAGGGATCTGTGCCCCTGGATCTGCTCACGTGGACCTGCTCACCTTGAGGGATCTGCTCACCTGGATCTGCTCACCTTGAGGGGTCTGCTCACCTGGACCTGCTCACCTTGAAGGATCTGCTCACCTTGCGAGATCTGTGCGCCTGGACCTGCTCACCTTGAGGGATCTGTGCCCCTGGATCTGCTCACCTGGACCTGCTCACCTTGAGGGATCTGCTCACCTGGACCTGCTCACCTTGAGGGGTCTGCTCACCTTGAGAGATCTGAGCACCTGGACCTGCTCACCTGGATCTGCTTACCTGAGCACTCCCAGGACCTGCTCACCTTGAGGGATCTGTACCCCTGGACCTGCTCATCTAGATCTGCTCACCTTGAGGGACCTGCTCACCTGGACCTGCTCACCTTGTGGAATCTGCTCACCTGGAGGGACCTGCTCACCTGGATCTGCTCACCTGGAGGGACCTGCTCACCTGGATCTGCTCACCTGGAGGGACCTGCTCACCTGGATCTGCTCACCTGGAGGGACCTGCTCACCTGGATCTGCTCACCTGGAGGGACCTGCTCACCTGGACCTGCACATGGATCTGCTCACCTGGATCTGCTCACCTTGAGGGACCTGCTCACCTGGACCTGCTCACCTTGTGGAATCTGCTCACCTTGAGGGACCTGCTCACCTGGATCTGCTCACCTGGATCTGCTCACCTGGAGGGACCTGCTCACCTGGAGGGACCTGATCACATGGATCTGCTCACCTTGAGGGATCTGCTCACCTGGACCTGCTCACCTTGTGGAATCTGCTCACCTGGAGGGACCTGCTCACATGGATCTGCTCACCTGGAGGGACCTGCTCACCTGGATCTGCTCACCTGGAGGGACCTGCTCACCTGGACCTGCACATGGATCTGCTCACCTGGATCTGCTCACCTTGAGGGACCTGCTCACCTGGACCTGCTCACCTTGTGGAATCTGCTCACCTTGAGGGACCTGCTCACCTGGATCTGCTCACATGGATCTGCTCACATGGATCTGCTCACCTTGAGGGATCTTTGCCCCTGGATCTGCTCACCTTGAGGGATCTGTTCACCTGAGCACTCCCAGGATCTGCTCACCTGGACCTGCTCACCTTGAGGGATCTGTTCACCTGGACCTGCTCACCTGGAGGGATCTGCTCACCTGGAGGGATCTGCTCACATGGATCTGCTCACCTGGACCTGCTCCCCTGGAGGGCTGTGTGCCCCTGGCCCTGCTCACCTGGGTGCCCCCAACCCCCCCAGGGGCCCAAACCCCCCAGTCCAGCTGCCCCACCCCGTTCTCCTCCTGACCTTTTGATTTCACCCTTGGTTTTGGCTTTCCCAGCAGTTTCCCCACACTGGGGTGGGACCTCCCCACCACTTCTGGGGTTTGAGGGTCCCCTGGTGCTCCTGGGGGGTCACCTGTCCCCTTTGAGGGGGTTAAAAGGGGTTTGAGGGGGCTCAGAGTGGGGTTTTTAGGGGGTTCAGGGAGGTTCAAAGTGGGGTTTTTAGGGGTTATGGGGATGTTGAGGCGTTTTTTGGGATTTAAAGAGGTTCAGAGGGGCCCTGGGTGCCCCCAGCCCCGGGGTCCCAGGGGCCCAACCCCCCAGGGGCCCAACCCCCCCAGGGGCCCAACCCCCCCAGTCCAGCTGCCCCACCCCGTTCTCCTCCTGACCTTTTGATTTCACCCTTGGTTTTGGCTTTCCCAGCAGTTTCCCCACACTGGGGTGGGACCTCCCCACCACTTCTGGGGTTTGAGGGTCCCCTGGTGCTCCTGGGGGGTCACCTGTCCCCTTTGAGGGGGTTAAAAGGGGTTTGAGGGGGCTCAGAGTGGGGTTTTTAGGGGGTTCAGGGAGGTTCAAAGTGGGGTTTTTAGGGGTTATGGGGATGTTGAGGCGTTTTTTGGGATTTAAAGAGGTTCAGAGGGGTTTTTATGGGATTTAGAGGTTTGGGACAGTTTAAAAAGGGGTTTAAGGGGGCTAAAGGGGTTTTTAGTGGGGTTCAGGCAGGTTCAAAGTGGGGTTTCTGGAGTTATGGGATCATTGAGGGTTTAAAATGGTTCAGAGGGGTTTTAGGGGTTCAGAGAGGTTTGAGGGGGCTGAAGGGGGTTCAGTTGGATCTAAAGGGGTTTATAAAGAAAGTTAAAGGGTCTTTTAGGAGATCAAGGGGGTTCTGAGGGGTTTAAGGGGCTTTAAAAAGAGTTTGAGGGGTTCAAGGGGATTCAGTGGGGTTTGAGGGTGTCAAAGGGGTTTTTTAGGCTCTTGAAGGGAGGTTTAAGGGGGTTTAAGAAGGGCTTTAGGGGGTTCAGAGGAGTTTAAAGGGGCTCAGGTGGGGTTTAGGTTGGTTTAAAGGGTTTTGGGGGGCTCAAAAGGGGGTTCAAGTGAGTTCAGAAGATTTAAGGGGGATTAAAAGGGGATTCAGGGGCCTTGAGTGCGTTCAAAGGGGTTTGAGGTTCAGGGGGTTCAGAGGAAGGGGGTAAAGGGTTAAAAATGGGGTTCAGGGGGGCATTTGGGGGTGCAGAGGGTGTTTTTAGGGGTTCAGGGAGGGATTTGATGCTGTTCAGAGGTGTTTTAGGGCTCCAGAGGGGATTTCAGGGGTTGGCAGGGCCAGAGGGGTTTTAGGGCATTCCCGGGGTTGTTTTGGTGTCCAGGAGGGGTCAAAAGGGGGTTCAGGGGGTTCCAGGGGCTCTGGGGGAGTCCAGAGGGGTTTTGGGGCATTCACGGGGTTGCTTTCGTGTCCAGGAGGGGTCAAAAGGGGGTTCAGGGGGTTCCAGGGGCTCTGGGGAATCCAGAGGGGCTTTGGGGGGTCAGAGGGGATTTCCCAGGGGGATTTGGGGTGGGGAGGGGCCGGTTCCCAGCCCGGGGCCTCGGTGACCCCCAAACCCCCCGGGAGGTGCCCAAATCCCCCAGGAACGGCCCCAAACCCGGCGGGACCCCCCGGGGCCGGGGAGAGGGGCAGGGGACCCCAAATCCTGCCCTGGACCCCCAGCTGGTGCTTCCCAAACCACGGAATTCCTGGATTTATCCCATTGCACCCCAAACCCCAGAATTCACAGATTTATCCCATTGCACCCCAAAACCACAGAGTTCACAGATTTATCCTATTGCACCCCAAACCCCAGAATTCCTGGATTTATCCCATTGCACCCCAAAACCACAGAGTTCACAGATTTATCCTATTGCACCCCAAACCCCAGAATTCCTGGATTTATCCCATTGCACCCCAAAACCACAGAGTTCACAGATTTATCCTATTGCACCCCAAACCCCAGAATTCCTGGATTTATCCCATTGCACCCCAAAACCACAGAGTTCACAGATTTATCCCATTTCCCTCCAAAGCCCCCAGAATTCCTGAATTTATTCAATTTCCCCCCAAACCGCAGAATGCCCAGATTTATCCCATTCCACCCCAAGCCATGAAATTCCTGGATTTTTTCCCATTTCCCCCCAAACCCCCCAGAATTCCCAGATTTATCCCATTTCATCCCAATCCATGGAATTCCCAGATTTATCCCATTCCACCCCAAACCCCCCAGAAATCCTGGATTTATTCAATTTCCCCCCAAACCACAGAATTCCCAGATCTGCCCCATTCCACCCCAAACCATGGAATTCCCAGATTTATCCCATTCCACCCCAAACCACAGAATTTCCAGATTTATCTGATTTTTCCCCAAACCACAGAATTCCCAGATTTATCCCATTTTCCCCCAAATCCCCAGAATTCCCAGATTTATCTGATTTCCCCCCAAACCACAGAATTCCCAGATCTGCCCCATTCCACCCCAAACCATGGAATTCCTGGATTTTTCCCATTTCCTCCCAAACCATGGAATTTCCAGATTTATCTCATTGCACCCCAAACCATGGAATTCCACCCCAAAAGCCCAGAATTCCCAGATTTATCCCATTCCACCCCAAACCACAGAATTCCCAGATTTATCTGATTTCCCCCCAAACCACGGAATTCCTTGATTTATCCCATTTCCCTCCAAACCCCTCAGAAATCCTGGATTTATTCAATTTCCCCCAAACCATAGAATTCCCAGATTTATCCCATTCCACCCCAAACCATGGAATTTCTGGATTTATCCCATTGCATCCCAAAAGCCCAGAATTCCCAGATTTATCTGATTTCCCCCCAAAACCCCAGAATTCCCAGATTTATTTGATTTTCCCCCAAACCCCCCAGAATTTCCACATTTATCTGATTTTCCTCCAAACCACAGAATTCCCAGATTTATCTCATTTCATCCCAAACCCTCCAGAATTCCCAGATTTATCCCATTCCACCCCAAACCATGGAATTCCCAGATTTATCTGATTTCCCCCCAAACCACGGAATTCCTTGATTTATCCCATTTCCCTCCAAACCCCTCAGAAATCCTGGATTTATTCAATTTCCCCCAAACCATAGAATTCCCAGATTTATCTGATTTTCCTCCAAACCACAGAATTCCCAGATTTATCTGATTTTTCCCCAAACCATGGAATTCCTGGATTTTTCCCGTTTCATCCCAAACCATGGAATTCCCACATTTATCTCATTGCACCCCAAACCACGGAATTCCACCCCAAAACCCCAGAATTCCCAGCTTTATCTGATTTCCCCCCAAACCATGGGATTCCCAGATTTATCCCATTCCACCCCAATCCACGGAATTCCTGGATTTTTCCCATTTCCCCCCAAACCATGGGATTCCCAGATTTATCCCATTTCCCCCCAAACCCCCAGAATTCCCGGATTTTTCCCATTCCCCCAACCCCCCGAGTTCCTGGATCTGGCCCTCGCTGGTGCTACAGCCCCCAAACCCCCTGGGCTCCCCAAACCTCCCCCAGGGTGTCCAAAGCGGCTTCGGAACTTTTAATGTCATTTTTATTTCTTTTTTAGCTTTTATTCCCTTTTTTCTACTTCTTTTTTATTCCTTTAATTTTGAATTTGGTTTTTCTTTCCTTTTACATTTAATTTTAATTTTTTTTTAATTTTGTTTTTATTGCCTTTTTATTTCTTTATTAAATTTTTACTTGCTCTTTCTTTTTTCTCCAAACCCCAGAATTCCCGGATTTTTCCCATTCCCCCCAACCCCCCGAGTTCCTGGATCTGGCCCTCGCTGGTGCTACAGCCCCCAAACCCCCTGGGCTCCCCAAACCTCCCCCAGGGTGTCCAAAGCGGCTTCGGAACTTTTAATGTCATTTTTATTTCTTTTTTAGCTTTTATTCCCTTTTTTCTACTTGTTTTTTATTCCTTTAATTTTTATTTTGGTTTTTCTTTCCTTTTACATTTAATTTTAATTTTTTTTTAATTTTGTTTTTATTGCCTTTTTATTTCTTTATTAAATTTTTACTTGCTCTTTCTTTTTTTAATTCAATTTATTTCCTTTTTAATTTCCCTTTTAACTTTATCCTTTCCTTATTTCTGTTCCATTTTTAATTTCATGTTGTGGTTTTTAATTTCCATTTTAACTCCACCTTTGATGCCACCCAGTGAATCCAAAGCTTCTCCCCACTATTATTCATTTTTCCTGCTTTTCCGCAGTTTCCCGGGACAATGCTGTATTTAAAGAGAATATTTAAGTGGAAAAATAAAAAGTGGTTAAACTTGACCCGGAGTTGTGGTTTAAACTGGGGCAGATTCATAAAATTGGGTTAAATCCACTGAAATCTGGGTTAAATGGAACAGAAATTGGGTAAAATGGATGAAATTGGGTTAAATGAATGAAATTTGGGTAAAATGAATCAAATTTGGGTGAAATGAATCAAATTTGGGTGAAATGAATGAAATTTGGGTAAAATGAATGAAATTTGGGTTAAATAGAAGAGAAAATTTGGTTAAATTAATGAAATTTCGGGTAAAATGAATGAAAGTTGGGTAAAATGAATCAAATTTGGGTAAAATGAATGAAATTTGGGTTAAATGAATGAAATTTGGGTAAAATGAATGAAAGTTGGGTTAAATTAATGAAATTGGGGTAAAATGGATTAAATTTGGGTGAAATGAATGAAATTTGGGTGAAATGGATGAAATTTGGGTAAAATGAATGAAATTTGGGTTAAATAGAAGAGAAAATTTGGTTAAATTAATGAAATTTGGGTAAAATGAATGAAAGTTGGGTTAAATTAATGAAATTGGGGTAAAATGGATTAAATTTGGGTTAAATGAATGTTGGGTGAAATGGATGAAATTTGGGTTAAATGAATCAAATTTGGGTAAAATGGGTGAAATTTGGGTAAAATGGGTGAAATTTGGGTAAAATGGATGAAATTTGGGTGAAATGAATGAAATTTGGGTTAAATGAATCAAATTTGGGTTAAATTAATGAAATTTGGGTGAAATGGATGAAATTTGGGTGAAATGGATGAAATTTGGGTGAAATGAATCAAATTTGGGTGAAATGAATGAAATTTGGGTGAAATGGATGAAATTTGGGTGAAATGGATGAAATTTGGGTGAAATGAATCAAATTTGGGTTAAATGAATGAAATTTGGGTGAAATGAATCAAATTTGGGTGAAATGAGTGAAATTTGGGTGAAATGAATGAAATTTGGGTTAAATGAATCAAATTTGGGTGAAATGAATCAAATTTGGGTGAAATGAATCAAATTTGGGTGAAATGAATGAAAGTTGGGTTAAATTAATGAAATTGGGGTAAAATGGATTAAATTTGGGTTGAATGAAATTTGGGTGAAATGGATGAAATTTGGGTTAAGTAGAAGAGAAAATTGGGTAAAATGAATGAAATTTGGGTTAAATGAATGAAATTTGGGTGAAATGAATGAAATTTGGGTAAAATGAATGAAATTTGGGTGAAATAGAAGAGAAAATTTGGTTAAATTAATGAAATTTGGGTAAAATGAATGAAATAGATGCGCTGGGATTTGGGTGGGGCTCACTGAGTTTGGGTGGAATTCACAGCATTTGGGTAAAATCCCAGCTTTGCCCCTGGGTTCCCTCGGAGCCCGGGACTGGACTTGGTCCAGAAGGGACTGGGGGCACCTGGGACCCCCGGGCCCCGTCCCATCATCCCATCATCCCATCCCATGGATCCATCCCATCCCATCCCATCCCATGGATCCATCCCATCATCCCGTTATCCCATCCCATGGATTCATCCCATCATTCCCATCATTCCCATCCCATTATCTCATCACCCCATGATCCCATCCCATGGATCCATCCCATCCCATCCCATCCCATGGATCCATCCCATGATCCCATCCCAGTTCCCATCCCATCCCAGTTCTGGTCCCAGTCCAATCCCATCATCCCATTATCCCATCCCATGGATCCATCCCATCATTCCCATCCCATCCCATGATCCCATCCCAGTTCCCATCCCATCCCATCCCATCCCATCCCATCCCATCCCATCCCATCCCATCCCATCCCATCCCATGCCATCCCATGGATCCCATAATTCCGTCCCTCTTCCCATCCCAGTTCTGGTCCCAGTTCCAATCCCATTTTCCTGTTATCCCATAATTCTCATCTCATTATCCCATCCCATGGATCCATCCCATTATCCCATCCCTGTTCTCATCCCAGTTCTGGTCCCAGTCCAATCCCATTATCCCATTATCCCATCCCATGGATCCATCCCATCATTCCCGTCATTCCCATTCCATTATCCCATTATCCCATCACGTGAATCCCATCCCTGTTCCCATCCCATGGATCCCGTGCCAGTTCCCATCCCATTATCCCACTGTCCCGTTATCCCACTGTCCCGTTATCCTATTATCCCATCCCCGTTCCCATCCCCGCTATCCCGTTATCCCATCCCCGTTATCCCACCCCCGTTATCCCATCCCCGTTATCCCATCCCCGTTATCCCGTTATCCCATCCCCGTTATCCCATCCCCGTTATCCCGTTATCCCATCCCCGTTATCCCATCCCCGTTATCCCGTTATCCCAATATCCCATCGCTATTCCACCCTTGTTATCCCATTATCGCATCTCCGCTATCCCATTTCTATCCCGTTATCCTGCTATCCCACTATCCCACTGCTATCCCGTTATCCCAGATGCGCTGGGATTTGGGTGGGGCTCACTGAGTTTGGGTGGAATTCACAGCATTTGGGTAAAATCCCAGCTTTGCCCCTGGGTTCCCTCGGAGCCCGGGACTGGACTTGGTCCAGAAGGGACTGGGGGCACCTGGGACCCCCGGGCCCGTCCCAGCAGTCCCATCATCCCATCCCATGGATCCATCCCATCCCATCCCATCCCATCCCATCCCATCCCATCCCATGGATCCCATAATTCTGTCCCTCTTCCCATCCCAGTTCTGGTCCCAGTTCCAATCCCATTTTCCTGTTATCCCATAATTCTCATCTCATTATCCCATCCCATGGATCCATCCCATTATCCCATCCCTGTTCTCATCCCAGTTCTGGTCCCAGTCCAATCCCATCATCCCATTATCCCATTATCCCATTATCCCATTATCCCATCCCATGGATCCATCCCATCATTCCCGTCATTCCCATTCCATTATCCCATTATCCCATCACGTGAATCCCATCCCTGTTCCCATCCCATGGATCCCGTGCCAGTTCCCATCCCATTATCCCACTGTCCCGTTATCCCACTGTCCCGTTATCCTATTATCCCATCCCTGTTCCCATCCCCGCTATCCCGTTACCCCATCCCCGTTGTCCTGTTATCCCATCCTTGTTATCCCGTTATCCCATCCTCATTGTCCCATTCTCGTTATCCCGTTATCCCATCCCCGTTCCCACCCCCGTTCCCATCCCCGTTATTGCTGTGTCCCCTGCTGTGACCTCGTTATGTCCCTGCTGTCACCCCGATGTGATCCCGTTACGTCGTCTCTGTCCCCTGCTGTGACCCCGCTGTGTCCACCCAATGTCACCCCACTGTCCCCACTGTGTCCCCCCAATGTCACCCCACTGTGTCACCCCACTGTCCCCCCGCTGTCCCTGCTGTCCCCCCCCAATGCCACCCCGCTGTGACCCCGCTGTCCCCGCTGTGTCCCCCAATGTCCCCCGCTGTCCCGTGTCCCCAGTCCTGTCCCCTGCCCTGTCCCCGGGTGTGTCCCCTGCCCTGTCCCCTGCCCTGTCCCCAGGTGTGTCCCCAGCCCTGTCCCCAATGCTGTCCCCAGGGGTGCCCAAGTTGGGGGGGGGGTGGGACACTGCTGACCCCGGGGTGGAAAATGGCCCCAGTGCTCCCAGTGCCACCTGCAGCTCCCAGTGCTGCCTTCACCTGGCAGCGCCACCCAGTGCCCTCCCAGTGCCCCCAGTTCACACTTCCAGTGCCCCCAGTTCACACTCCCAGTGCCCCCAGTTCCCACTCCCAGTCCCTTTCAGTGCCCCAGTTCACACTCCCAGTGCCCCCAGTTTGTCCCAGTTTGTCTCTATTCCTCCTGCATGGCACCTCCAGTGCCCCCAGTTCACACTCCCAGTCCCTCTCAGTGCCCCCAGTACCCCAGTTCACACTCCTAGTCCCTCCCAGTCCCACCCACTCCCCCCAGTGTCCCCAGTCCCTCCCAGCGCTCCCAGTCCCTCCCGGTCCCCCCAGTTCACACTCCCACACCCTTTCAGTGCCCCCCAGTTCACACTTCCCGTCCCTCCCAGTGCTCCCAGTCCCTCCCAGTCCCCCCAGTTCACACTCCTAGACCCTCCCAGTGCCCCCAGTCCGTCCCAGTGCCCCCAGTCCCACCCGGTGCTCCCAGTCCTTCCCAGTCCCTCCCAGTGCCCCAGTTCACACTCCCAGTCCCTCCCAGTCCCTCCCAGTCCCCCCAGTGCCCCAGTTCACACTCCCAGTCCCTCCCAGTCCTTCCCAGTCCCTCCCAGTGCCCCAGTTCACACTCCCAGTCCCTCCCAGTCCCCCCAGTGCCCCCAGTCCCCGCCGTGTCCCCGTGTCCCCAGGACGCCGCCTCGCTGGCTGACGTGGTGGTGTGGGGCAGCCTGTTCCCCGTGCTCCAGGACGACTCCAGTCTGCCCAGTAAGAGCGGGCAGGGGGTGGCTCGGGGGGGTCCCTGCGGGGCCGGGCCGCCCCCCCTGACCCCCCCCACCCCTGCCGTGCCCAGGTGAGCCGCCGGTGCTGCGCCGCTGGCTCG